ACACATTTCAGAGCCCATCATAGGAGCACATGAAAACTGATACAAGCTCTTTCTGCCCAGCATGTGAGCTGGCTTCATACAAGGCATTGCAAACACAAACTGTGTAAATCAAATAGGTCGTACTGCACTTGAGCTAGCTAGCCTCGCTGTGCAGCCATGTGTACCACCTTCTGCTATCACAGAGCACAGTTGCATAGCTTGCAAACTTAGCTGGGTCATGCCTCTTGGGCTCTCAGCACAGGTTCTTGTATGTCCACATCCGTCCATCCTGGGAATTGTTTGAAACATGCCAGCATGCAGCGAACTGTGAAGGCATTGGAGAATTTGTGATAAATTATGATATCATACCTCTCAGAAAACTATGAGAGGCTGTGTATGCATTCTCCAGATCTTCTCATACCATCTCTGTCTTATTAGCCTACTCTTGAGGTACTTGTTATGTCTTCATATGCTTACCCTCTCTTCATGTACTACTATTTGCATATACTTTAACTTAAAAGTTGCACGCTACTTTTCACTTCCCTGATACTTGGTACCATGCTTGTTAGCCTGAACAGAAAGAATTACTTTCAATGCCATTTAAAATGCTGATTTTCTGACTTTATTTTCTGTGGCTGAGAGCCTTGGACTTACTAAAGCTGGATTTTACAAAGGATTAATGCGTAGTATAATAAGCTGGATCATATAGGAAAACAAATGTTCTTTAAGGAGGAAAAGAGATTTGGTGAGGAGTGCCAGTATCAATGAAATCAAGGAAAGTTTCTTAACTGTTGAATGAATGTTGAATTCTGGTATTCTGATAATGACTTTCAGAAAATTCATCATTAGAAAAAGCTTGATTTTCATGCTAAACGTCCAGACATTTCTTCTTAATCAAACATTACCTAGGTTCATCTAAGCTAGTTGAAATGTCTGAAATTGTAAAGCAGAAAAATGCATGTTTACTCTTAGAATTTAGATCACTTTGCACTCTAATAGATTAAGACAGCTCCAAGCTAGCATGGCTACTTATCCCCTGTGGTTGAGCTTGGAGCGTATTGTGTTAGTATAACTATTTAGTACATCAGAGTATAATTAGTTCCAGTTACACAGAGATGTTTGATATTTGAAATTCTCTTTGCTCTTGTAGAGTTTAATCTAAGTGTATTTCCAGAAGACAGAGTTACTCATCAGGACTGGGCAATTCTTGTAGGTACTGTACACACTTTTAGGGTGCGTTTTCAAAGCTAGTTCATATCAGCCTAGGACAGCACTGCCTCGGAAAGGGGCAAGTCTCTCTGTTTTACTGGCTTCATGTTTCTGCCTCCTCCCTTGCATTCTGAGTCTGAGAAGGAAGTAATTAATTTAAGAAGTCTATTTGCTTTTAATTTAGATCAGCTACAGCTTGCTTTGAAGATACTGGTGTCACCAAAGCAGAAGTACAAAGAAGTATGATGGGGCTGTATGGAGCCCCTTGGAAGTATCATGGCCTTTGGCCAGCTGAAGGTGATTGTGAAGCTGTGCCATGAGGAACATTATGCACAGAGGCTTTTCAGGGAGCTGACAGACATGCCTATGGCAGTGTTTTTAGTAAAGCCTAACTTTCTGCATTTTAATCATTTATAACTCTGGCCAGTGTGTCCGCGTGTTAAGGATAATAAACTGGAGTGTAGTCATAAGAGAGCCCATGTTAATTTTAGGATTTTTTTTTTTTTAAATTATGCTGCCACTTCTAATAGCTCATATATTTGAGTCTTATTTGACTTTTGCGTAAGTGATACAAATTAATCCTAGTATTTCTTCTTTATGTACAGTGCCTGGTTTCTAATGTGTTCCTGAAGCCAAATTTAAAGTTAGTTTCCTCTTTTACTTGCAGTGGTTCTTCTGCTAAGCTCTTGCACTGTGGCTTGACTTGTGCTCTCTGCAGTGCCTCTTCATCCTTTTAAAGCTTTGACACAATTTTGAGGAAGTGTGAGGTTTCTGCTGTTACCAGATGTCTCCTCTTTAAAATACCTGATATTGCACTCTTTTTCTTATTATTAATGGTTCTTTAGGTTAAAAAAAAAATCACTGAAATAACTTATGTTTATAACTTTGACATTCTTAGAGTCAACTAAGACAACAAATGTTTGCAAGTAAAGGGTTCTGCGATGTCTCCCTGTACAAGTTTCAAAGAGATTTTGTCTGGGGAATACCACAGGCTTTTTTAACAAAGACCTCTTCGGGAATACTGGCTCCCAAAAAACCAAACCAAACCACCAATTAGTGGTTTTTGTGTTTCTCACTTGCTGCACTAACATTTTTCCACTTGCCTACCAGCTAGGCTGAAAGATCTTCAAGGTGTGGTAATAGTTGAAAGAAGCATATGATCTGTATCCCATGTCTTCCATAGGGAAGTATCTCAAGAGCATTCTCTTAAATGTCCATTTCCTCACTTGGTTTTGGAGAAAGTCCATTAAGGGAGAAAGTCTTGAAAAGCAGTTTTCTTGCTCAAAAGCTGCTAACTGAAATAGGGAATTGAACAGAAATACATTTCTGCACCCTTTACTTTTTAAAGTTGAGGGTTTTTTTTTTTGTTCTGTGTTTTGGGTTTTTTAGTGTGTTTTTATATATATATATATAAATTGAATTACTAGAATATTCTGCAGTTTGTTATACTTGGATGCATACTTTAGACCAAAACCAGCCCTCCATTCAGATATCATAGATCTCCCAGTTGTTTCCAGGGGAAATAAAAACAAAATAATCTACAAGTGATGAGTGAGTGAATAAATGGTTTTAAAATTAAAAATAAATTCTAAAATTAAAATAAATTTAAATAAATGGTTTATATAATTTTTAATATAATTTTTTTCGCTCTCTTTTTTCTTTTTTTTTTTTTTTTTATTTTTTTTTTTTGAGTCACACAGAGCGTATGAATGCAGAGACTCTCATTGTGTATTTTATTTCTGCTTAGAATCTGAGCTGCAAGGGCAGAAGACTAACATGAGCTCTGCACTGGCCAAGCTTTTAAGCCTCTTCTTTCACAGTTTACCACATCTACAGTGGTCCAGCTGAAGAAGGGTTTCAGGTGGAACTAGTCATAAGAGAGTGTGTTTCTTAGTGTAGGCTAAAGTAAAAATACTTCATTATTGTGATCCCATGGGGCCTTTCTACAGATCATAAATAGGCTCTCCTGCCAAGCTGATGATTTACACCAGACCTTCATGTATATAAAATAAAACTGTTCAGAGAACTGTTTCCATTAGCACTGCAACCAGAACTAATGTTGATGTCTTGGGTGTATAAGCCATGCTCTTTTTTTTTTTTTTTTCTTTGTCACAAATTGTGCAAACATTTTGAATACCTTAACTTCAAAAAAGCATTGAAATTGAATTCACAGCCCTGTGACATACCTGATGATGAGAATAATAATTTTGAAAATGGCAAACATGGGTATAAAGTCAAGCAAGAAAATGTTCATTGAGATTGGGAGGTCATACATAAAAGCAGAGTAAGATTAATTTAATAAGGTGAAATGACTATATCAGTAAGAGCTTTTACAAGTAAAACAGGATTATTCTAATTATTTTAAAGAAAGTATATTACTTAAATGAGTTTAATGTCTCCTGCAGTACTTGCACTAATGGTTAAAATTAAAGACTGATCTAACAGATGCTGTTAGTTTATGGAAAAAAAAAAAAAAGAAGACTTAAATACAGAAATCAATACTTGAGAAATGCAGCCAGCTAAAAACACATTAGGTTTGTTTTTCTCAAACCCGGAGTCCTCTGGCCTCTAGAGAGATGTGTGCTGAGAAAATATCTTTGCTGAACCCACTCTTTATGCTTTACAAAAGCATAAAACATATTTATTGCAATATATAAAGGGCCTTCAACATTCAGGATCAAATCTGTTTAGATTGAGTGCATGGAAGTGAAAAACCATGTTAGGAGCTTCATTTTCATATTTCCATTGTAATTTACATGATTCATTTCCCTTTTAGAGTTGGGATTTTTGGGGTTGGGTTTGGGTTTTTTTAGCTGATGACCACAACATGTCTGAATATTTGTCTTTACGAATATTTAGAGGAGTGGGACTTTTTACAAGGACATGTAGTCATAGGACAAGGGGTAATGACTTTAAACTGAAAAAGGGTAGATTTTGATTAGACCTAAGGAAGAAATCCTTCACTACGAGGGTGGTGATGCACTGGAATGAGTTGCCCAGAGAAGCTGTGAATGCCTTATCCCTGGAAGTGTTCAAGGCCAGGTTGGATGAGACTTGGAGCAACCTGATGTAGGGGAAGGTGTCCCTGCCTGTGGCAGGGGAGTTGGAACTAAATGGTCTTTGAGGTCCCTTCCAGTCCAAATCATTCTATGATTCTATGATACTTGTTCAGAGCTACGTGAGGAGCAGTTACTTTCAGTTGACTCATCAAAGTTCATTGTATTTTGAGTATTGTTGAAGTCAGCAAGCTGTGCAGGTGGAATACATGGTGCTCAAAATATTTTCTCTGCTTTGTATTACTGATATGAGTTTGTGTGCTAAGTTTTATTTTTAATTATAGGCTTAGCAGGAAAAAAGATGCCAGATTCACATTGCTTATAAATGTTTGTCGATTCTGTGATTAGTCTTTGAACTTTTCAGTTTTTCACTTAATGCTTGAAAGCTGGGTTTTTTTTTTAAAGCTGCTGTGAAAATTGTAAAAATAATTTGTTATATTGTGTTCAAATCCACTGTAATAAGATCAGAACAGGTCAGCTAGTCCACAGCTGTCCTGTAAGTCCCCATGCATTCCCATTTCAAATTCTAGTTATAATGTGGAAATTCTAGTTAATATGGAAGTACTGTGATACCAAAGTAATGAGTGGGTGCAGGCATGCAAACTTTCGTGACGTTTGAATGTGTTTCTAATCTGAATGACTTGTCATATTTTTTCCAGCACATGACCACAATCAACATATCTATGTTCAAGTTTCCCTTGGGCTGATAAATCCTGAGAGACTGAGCGCTGGATTGGTACTGCCTGTTGCAGTCAGATGGAGACTTTGGAGGAAAAGAGTGATCTCCTTGATTTGCAGACAGAGAACATGGAACAACCATTCAGTGTCAGCTCCTTGGTATGTATTACAAAGAAATGCTGTAATGGTTGAGCACCCTCCCTTTCAAACAGGAAACAATTCAAGAGAGCTGTTTAGCAGTGTCAGCTACAATGGTCTCTTCTGCATGCTGCCAGTTCCTCCCACCCTCTGTCTGATGATTTTGTTGGAATTAATTTTATTTTTATATATGTGGTTTATGGGGTTTAGCTTGTTTCAGTGATCAGATTTTTAAGTGAAGTGAACATTTTGAATAGAAAGAGTAAAAATTTTAATCGAAGTGAGAAGAAACAACTTGCAGTACGCAATTATTTAGCCACTTAACAGGAAGATAATGATTATAATAAGCAGCTATGATTCTTCTTCAGTACAGTTAATTCTAACTTCTGACGCTTTAACTACTTCGCTTGAAACTGGAAATTAACATCTGAAGGGAACAGTTGACTGACCAGGAAAACTTCTTGCTCTTGGTTAGCTGAACTATACCCAGCAGTCACACCATATACATCATGTGTGGGAGTCTGAGTATTCAGGTCCTCCCCAAATTATTTCAATAGCTTAATGCTGAACCTTATAGAATTTCATATATAGGGAGTTCTAAAGAGCACACACTTTGTGTTGCCTTTGATCATTTCTGCATGGGTTTACTTAATTGTATCTTAATTTTTTTTTTCTGATTTTTTTTTGAAGTTAGAAGTTTTGGGGAAAGGGATAAGATCACTTTTTAATTGTAATTGCAATCACAATTTATTTGCAATTAAGAAACATGTTGGAATGTTTCAACTGTGGCTAGCAGCAGGGAAACCAATACCTATTTTGAGAAAAAAAGCTGAAGATTTCCCTTGAGTGTCTTGAATGAGATCACTTACTGAAAGTGAAATGTAATATATGGTTCTTTTTGCTAATCTCTCTTTTCTCTTTCAGAAAAAGCTGGTAGCTATTCCTGACCATACAGACATCTCTGTGACCCCAGAAGAGAGAGTACGTGCCTTAAGCAAACTTGGCAGCAATATCACAATCAATGAAGATATCACTCCACGTCGTTACTTTAGATCTGGAGTAGAGATGGAGCGAATGGCATCAGTATACATGCAGGAGGGAAACCTGGAGAATGCTTTTGTTTTTTATAATAAGTTCATAACGTAAGAAACCATTTGTAGTAGTAGTCGTCATTACAGTAGTAATTCTGAGTAATTACAGCTTGTAGTTCTGAGTAAACTGAAATAAAAGTTTGCAGTGAAAACAGGGCACCCCTTTATATTAGGAGAAAAATGTTTAGTGTGTTTTTGGAGAATAGCTTTGTTCTCTGGAGATCTTTGCTTTAACCACAGGCTTATAATTTCATCTCAACTGTTAGTATGGTAGTTCTATCCATCTATTAACTGCCAGGCATGAGTTGCTCTAATATAAGGAGGTTTAAGTTTACTGTACCAGGCTATACTATGAGCACTGTTTCCCACAGTTTATTTTGTATCTATCAGCATGTTGTTTAAATACAGTGCACGGCTTGAAAAGCGATGTTTAGATAAGTTTTCTGAGCCTTTAATAGTTACACCCTATGAGCTTCTGCCGATCTTAAATATGGTAGTATTTCACAGCACTTTAAACAAATAATGAAAAAAAAAAAGGCTTTTGCCTCTTTTTACTTTTCTTCCCCCAAAGGATTAAGTATAATTTGTTGCTTCTTACAGGAGCAAATGCAAAATCCACAGTATATGTTCATTGTATGATTATTCTCCCCACTCAAAAAAACTCAAATCAGGACAGCTTTCATTAAAACTCTCAAAATAGCCAGCTGAAAAATGTATCAGTGGCAGATTTAAACTTTTTAACTAGCTAGTTTTGCTGTAGGATTGATTAGTTTGTTTTTTTACTTCTGAAATGGTTTTGGATTTTTTATATGCATATTTTAAAATTTTTATATTAGAAGATCTCCTTCCTCATCCATTACCTTCCTCATACTCTGAAAACTAGACCAAATCTTTCTTATTCCACTTAATTTTAAATGTATGTATCTCTATTAAAAAAGGGTATGGAGGTGAACATTGTACAAATTGCTGAAAGAATGATAGCAGGTGTGTATTCCAAACTCTTTGCAGATGAGAGTTACTATAATTTAGATGTCTGAGTAGGTGAGTAATACTGAAGTTAGCCGTGCAGCTTGGTCTGGTAAAAATAACCTCTTTAATGATAGTCACAGCTACATTTTGGAATTCCCATTTGCGATTCAGCATTTCAGCTAAGGACAGATAAAGACAGTAGAAATAGGATTTATTAACACTGGCTAGGGTGGAGCATGCTTTTAGGTGCTGGCTGCTAGTTAGTCCTTTTCTTAATCCAACCCACTACTAATGAAAACCAAAAAATGTTCAGATGTAGAAAATAATCTCCTGTCATTACCCTATGTGTCCCGTATGAGTCTATACAAGAATTTAAGGGCTAGTTTAAACAAATGTGTAGAAATCTGCTCCAAGTCATCTGGAATTCAGTATTTAAGTTATGTGAAACTGATCTTTCTGCCAACATAAAAGCTATTGTGGATATTTTTCTGGCTATTGAGGCAAACACATGCATGTTTAATATTCTAGGTTGTTTGTAGAAAAACTGCCCAGTCACCGAGACTATCACCAATGTGCAGTACCAGAAAAACAAGATATTATTAAGGTAGGGTTATGTTTTCCTGGCCTTCAAGAAACATTTCCCCCAGAATCTCTCTGTTCTTTCCCAGCACTCTTTTTGCCCCAGTGCACACATAGCCCACGGCAGCCACCACAGCTTGAATTTCTGATACCTTTCTCCACTAGTCAGTCATGTTTTATTTTGATTTAATCATCTGATCATTACCAGAAGTTAAAACATAATTCTACAAGAACAGTCCATGAATCAGTTGATAGATTGTTGGAAACTGAGGTACATCTATTTCTGAAAGTTTACATATTAAAAATACACTAATTTAACAGTACTTAGAGTTTGATTCTGGTCCCAATTATGTGAGTGGATAATGGTCCAAACCAACCATTGCAAACAGTGTGAAAGGGAGATGCATGGCATTACTGATATCTGTGCCATATTTGCTTACTCTGCTAAATAATCAAAGTATATTTTTGCTTTCTTTATTACCAAATATTCATTCACTTAGTTTTTACCAGATTTTTTTTCTCCATTTATAAACAAAATAGTTTTACTTTTTTGTTTTATTTTCTAAAAGGGAAATTTCAAATACAGCCTTATAATGAGCTTAAAACATCTGCAATTGCCCAGACAGAATTGTTAGAATAAGCATAAGGGTCTCTTGCTTCATCCTGCCATATTTGCATGCTTTCTCTACTGTTAAAGCTGAATAATGTTATATTCAAAGCCAAAATGCTTCATGCCAAGTTTTGACTGTGGCCCACATTCTAAGAAAACATCCCTATTGAGAAATGACATCTAACATGCTCCCTCTATGGCACTCAGTAGGAATAAGCACGTGGTCTCTTTCACTCCTTTGCCTACAGCATCTAAATTATTTTGTAGTAGCCACTGCATCAATAGAAAACATTGGGCATTGATTTTGTATTACAAACAAAATTGTTTTATCTGCCAGGGCTGCGACAGGAAGCTACAGGTGTAGTTATCTCTGCAAATGAACTATTTTTTTCCCACCTGGAAATGAGCATAAGTGATGATCCTAGCTGAAACATTGAAAGTTGGACTTCAGTTTTTTTTATAAATTACACCTACAACAAAACTGTTAGTTATCACACACCTACTAAACAAAACAGAGATAACAAATTGTTAGAAAAAGGACGAATGTTTCCTTGAGATAAGATGTGTCACACTTTTCACTGACATAGATTAACATAGCTTTATTGAAATCAGTGGACTATAGAATTTTCATAAGCTGATGATTTAGTCTGTATTTCTTCCTTTCTTTCCTAAAGAGCAGTATTTTTTTCTGGTTTGTATTTTTTTAAAATCTGTATTACAGCTGAGTTTGTTTTCCAGGTGGTTCTTTTAAAAAGTGAAAAGTAAACTTATCTATCTTTCTCCCTCATCCCACCCCAAAGAAATTGAAGGAGGTTGCATTTCCACGGACAGATGAATTGAAGAGAGATCTTTTAAAAAAGTATAACTTAGAATATCAAGAATACATGCAAAACAAAGTAAGTTTTAAATGGTTATTAAATAATTGTTGGTATGAAGATTTTCCTGTCATATAAAACTTCTTCAAAATTAAGCAGTGAAATGCCAGTTCTACAAGAACCTAATCATTTCATGGGCTGCTTAGAATGACTTTTCACTTCTCAGAATCTAATCAGTTGGCTGTTTAAAAACAAATAATGCAAGTGTGTGCTTGGAAATAAACATGCTGTGATATTTACTTAATAACTGTCTACAAATATCTAAATAGGCCTTTGGTACACTCTGATTCTGTTTTATAAAGAGGATACTGTTTGTACATGAATATGTGGAAAAGGTCCCTTGGCTCTGAATGTGCTCCAGTTTGAAATCAATCCTGTTTGAGTCTCTAAGTAACTATAAATACCTGCATCTTATATATCGAAGTCACTGAAAAAAGGATCTGTAGTTTTAAAAACTGGTCTTGGAAAGAGCATCTGAGAAAAAACATCTTTTTCTTTCCTTCCCTTAAAATTGACCTAGGGAATTATGAAAAAAAACACAAACCAAACCAATCCAAACCAAACACAATCACCCAAACCACCCCACACTCCATATTCCTGTCACTGTTTGTTTTGAGGCTTTCTTTCCCAATCAATTTTGTTAATGACATTTAAGAAATTACTTTGCTCTGTTTTGTTTTTTTTTTTTTTTTCATTTGCTTCTGGAGATACTTGATGCTCTCCTTTACCAGGGAGCAGGAAGGGCTTTTGAAACCTGAAGCTTCCCTTGCAGTTTGTGGAACAGCAGATGGCTTGGGAGCAAGGCAACATCGACCAGAGCAGAGAAGGCACTTAATGTGTCTGAGGCTGGGGAGGCTATGCACCAGAGCGAGGCTAAGCAATCCAGGGAAAGTTCAGGAAAGAAAGTAGCAAGAGAAAGTTGACCAACCTATCCAAACAGCAGCAACAAGCAACAAAACCAGATAACATCATGGATTATGAAATCTATCCAGAAAACCCATGTTGCTTGCCGATTTCTCGTTGCATTGAAAATTATAAGGCTTGCATCTCATCTCCTTACCATTGTTATTCTGAAAACTCTTTTTTTTTCTTTTTTTTAAATGACTTTACTGTAATGGGCAAATGAGGCAAATGTGATTGCTACTGAAGCAAAAACACAAAGCACTGTAGGTATGCAGATTGGAAGCTTTGTGTTAGGAATTCCTTACTTACTGTATTTCTTTCCATATCATATTATTTTGGGAGATACAGTTGTATTTGCCAATTCAGCAAACAGGTTCCAAAAGACTTCATTTTTAATGACAGGATTTGATGGTTTTATTAAACAATTAGATTACTTCTTTCCCTTCATATTTTGTAGCAGTTTTTAGTGTTCTGAGAATGTCGCTATTTTGCATATGTTTCAGAACAAATGTAAAACTGAACTTCTGAAGAAACTAGAGCATCAAAAGCTAATAGAGGCAGAGAAGAAACGAATTGCGCATATGAGACAACAGCAGCTTGAGTCGGAACAGTTTCAATTCTTTGAGGATCAACTTAAGAAACAAGAACTAGCTCGAGACCAGAAAATCAAAGGGAGCGTGGTTATGTCTGAACAGATAGATGGAAGTATGCTATCTTGTATTTCTGTACCGGAGAACAGTTCCGTATCTGCAGCACTTCTTGAGAAAAAAGAGGGGAGTGGCACATCTGGCTGCACTGGACATTCGCCTCCGGTAAACCGGGTCTTAAGGCCAGCGGCCACTTTAAGTGCTGTTCAGAGTAAGTGCAGAGATTTTTTTTTTTTCCCTTTTTTATCTGCCTCTGCTGCTTATAGCAGTTGCAGTGATACATATTGCATATGCATGTGTATTTATTCACTGTGAGGATGTCCATAGTGAAATAAGCATGAACAGCTTGATGTACACACAACAGTTCCATATAGTTTCTTTGTTTTAAGAGATAAGGATAGTTGCACAGTTTCACATTTTCCAGTTGAGTACCAATAGAAGGATTCATCTATTGGACCTTAGTGTTCCTGTGGAATTAAGTCTGAATTTTGCCATGGACTTCAAGGAAACAGAAGCAGAACCTGCAGTGGTTCGCCTGGAAAGCCCTGGCCTGGGAGATGGTATCAGCTCACCATCACCCTCAAAGGCAGGCTGGTGAGCACATCTTATGGGCTAGTGACCTCAATTTAGGGTGAAGTGCTTATGCAGTAGATTTATTCTCATTAGAAATCTGTGATGTGGTAAGTGTAATTCTTTCACTTTTAATAATTTCCTGTAACTGTGTATATTTCCTTATTTTAGAGAACTTCACTGTGCAAGCTGCAAATGCCTTTTTATCTCTCTCTCTTTCTATTTCTTTTTAATTTTTTTTTTGTTAGCTCAATTGGCCGAAGCACTCAGAGGCGTCATTTTGCCCAGGGATCTCTGTCACAAATTTCTACTGCTAGCAGAGGCAAATACAGTAAGAGGAATAGAGACATGTGGAATTCTCTGTGGAAAACTGGTACAGTTTAACCCTCACGTTTGTATGGGGAAGACATATTTGATAGTTCTGTATTTTCCTGTAATGTATTGATTTCGGAGCAAAAGCAGATCTAAACAATTAGTCTTTAATGTAATTAACCTCACATTATACCCCGAGTGGTCACTTCAGCAGTGTGGACTTGCCTTATTGGGGAAACATCTGATCAAAGTACACTGCTGTCATTATAAAATGTAGCAAGTTTTTCAACATGCTGTACAATACAGGCTTTTTCCAGTGCTTTCTCTGGCATTCATCTAAGGTAAGTGAGGTTTAGTTACAGGACAATGAAATATAAAGACTGTTAGAATCTACTGGAGTCATCAAATTCATAATGGCACAACAAAACAGAAGAAAATCCCCCCCATCAAGCTGTAGAACATCTGATTTTCAGGCTGGTTTTTTTCCCTTGACCTAGATAACACTCAATGACCTTTCAGAACAGAGAAAGATGTTGTGCCTGATGCTGGCATACAAAGAATTTTAAAGATGATGTCCAAGTGTATGTGAATTGTATGAAAAGGAAGAATAGCAAGAGTAGTGATGTTCCACAGAAAATAATTATAATATCCTCAAACCTCTTTTTTCATGTTTTTAATTATTTTGAAGGACAACCTTTTCACATTGGTCTCCGAGAACATTTCAATACAACAGTCTTGTGTTGTTGCTAATACTACTCTGTATGTTTTCATGATAAAATGCTAAGGCAGATTTTCAGGTGCAGTAGGTCAGTATAGCTGCATTGGAATCAGTGGAGATATACTGCTTTGTTTTAGCTGATAGGCTGACATCTTTCAGATTCTGATTCAGCATTTATTTAGTAGTTCATTTGTTCCACTTTCAGACAATGTTTCTTTTACAGACACATAATGAATTTACTATTACCCATGTAATAGTGCCAAAGCAATCTGCAGGACCAGACTACTGCGACATGGAGAATGTGGAAGAATTATTTGGTATTCAGGATCAGTATGATCTCCTCACTTTGGGTTGGATCCATGTACGTATGACTCGTAGATTCTAGCTTTTCTATATTGGCTCCGCATACCCTGGAAATAACAAACTAATGAAATAACCGGAATTAGTTTGCTCACTTAATTCTAATTGTAGTGATGTAAATGAGCACTAATGGTCTCCGCAGATGAGTATTGCTTAATGCATTTGAGGCATCCTGTTGATGCAATGGGCCTGCTTTTGCCAGTGCAACTTTTGTTTATGTCAATTTAGGGATGTTTTATTTCTTTCTAATGCCATTTATTTTTCTACTGTATTCAAAATCTGGGGGGGGAGGGTGTTGTGTTGTTTAAACTTGATATTAATTTCAGTCTTTGGGATTTTGGACAATCAAGTCATTTCCCTTTGTCTTGTGCTTCTTCATTCCACCTTTTTCCCTCCCATGATCAGAAAATTGCTTGTACATCTGCTTGTGAATGTGCCTCCATAAACCTCGTACTGAAAAGCCATCTTAACAATGTAGAATCTGGGTTAATTTAAGAACTTAAGAAACCAGCCTGGGGAAGTACTGACACTTTCACTTGTTACAAATTATTGTTCCTTCTTGAATGTATGTCAACCTTGATTTGTAAGAAATATTTCATGATGTTGAGTTTTCCCTTTCTTTTTGTAGACACATCCAACACAAACTGCATTCTTATCCAGTGTTGATCTTCATACTCATTGTTCTTATCAGCTAATGTTGCCAGAGGCCATTGCAATTGTTTGTTCACCAAAGCATAATGAGTGAGTCCTGATTTTTCTAAGTAATATTTAGATATTTTCCCTTGTTCTTTATCGTAAATTTGATCAAATGCAAACAGCACTTGTCAACTGGGATGAAGGGCAGTAATATTGTATTGTGAATTTATTTTCTTTAAGTTGTTTAGACTTGCATTCCAGTCAGTCTCTGTGCACAATATTGTTTCTGGCTTCTTTCTCCTCCCTTCCTAGCCCCAGGTTTTAAATTTTATTTCTTTTTATGCTCTGCTCAGTTGAGTAGTAATGACAGGAGCTGTTCTTCTGGAGACCTCATTGCCAGTGTCCTGCCACAGACCTATCTTCATTCTGTCTGATGAAAGAAGTGGTGGAGTTAGATCTATTTCTCTAGGATGATATTAAAATTGCAGTTTGGGGAGTAGAGAGATAAAGATCACTTTTTTTTATAATGAAGTCCTAGTTTTTGTATTTCATAAAATACAAACAATAACTATCTGGAACAAACCTGGAACTATTTAAATATTATTGTGAATGTTTATAATGGAACAGGTTGCCCAGAGAGGGTATGAAGTCTACATCCTTGCAGATATTCAAAACCCAACTGGACATGGTCCTGGGCAACCTGCTCAAGGTGATTCTGCTGTAGCAGGGTGCTTGGACTAGGCAATCTTCAGAGGTCCTTCTAGCCCCAACAATTTTGTGATTCTGCTTTGGTGTGCTTGGCATTTCAAGGCTCCAGGGCTAACTCCAGAGTTTAGACTGTGCACTTCTTCAGCCTTTCTTTCTGGCTGCCTACTTCTGTAGGTGACTTCTATGAGTCCTTTTCTGGTTGCCTAACTTCCTATATGGGCCATTCAGGTAGCAGAGCTGTAAATACAGGTTGAGTGGCCAGTGTACAAGCACTAGGCTTTGTAACCCGGAGCGCGTCTGTATACCTTTTCAAATCTCTGGTCTTCCAAACTTCTTTCGTAGTTTGTGCTGTTACCCTGTAACCAGCTCTAACCTGTTACTCTTACCTGTAACATTTATTGATCAAGTGCTGTCCTGTAGTTACTAGGTATTAATATTCTTTACAAAAGCGTGCGTTTTCTAACGTTTTTTTCAATACTCAGTTGTTAGGTCATACAGATGCAGCAGTGCATTTTCTAGTGCTTTGATTACCTGAAGAGTGGGGAGGACGTGTACTCTCATTAGTGATTTACACAACTAGCTTAAAGGCTATTCTCTTTTTAAGTTGCTCCTCTAGAGTTCAGTAAGTGAAATGCAATCCAGAACACCTAAGTTTCTGGTTTGTATCTGTCCCTGTATGAACTAGCCTTGGCCCTTAGTAGGCTAACCTGCCTAATGGGAATAGCACCAGTACTGTGACTTTTTTTTTTTCGTCTCCCCTTCCCCTCATCATCTCTTCCTTTACAGGATTACAACTCCCTTTCATTTCAAATACTGTAAAGAATCCAACTCAGACTTGGCTCCTGTGTATCAAAAGTCACTGAGTACCATTCTGTTATCCTTCTGTTAAGCTAAGCAATTTGTATGTAAACCTTGGACATGTATTATGGGAGCAGTATGTAACAGGAGTATCATCTTTTGCTTTCCAGCACTGGCATTTTCAGACTTACAAATGCTGGCATGCTAGAAGTTTCTTCTTGTAAAAAGAAGGGATTCCATCCACATACAAAGGATCCTAGATTATTTAATGTAAGTATATAATCCATCATAGTTTTGACTATTCAAATTCTTGTCCATGATTCTGCTGCAAGCAGAAATTATACATGCTTCAGATTAGATTTCCTTATAATTTTTCCTTTGTTTTAATAATTCATTATGCTTACCTCATTGACCAAGGTAGACATCAGGAGTCTACTTAAGCAGTCAATAGCAGCCATGAGATGATTGTTACACCCTGCCATTCAAATGGTGGCTAAGCAGAGAGTTACCATCAGCCACCACTTTTGCCTGCTTTCAGAAGCAGCAAAAGCCACAGTTTCAAATGGGAGTTATTCCTGTGCTCTTCAGTTTTTAAACAAAGAATTCAGTTCATCTCTTCCAACTGTAGTGTGTGTCTCAACAGAACATCCTAGCTTCTAAAAAGTGCATCTATGAGTAGATCAAGCCACATTTCCTTCAATGCCTATATTTTCCCCCGCCTTCTCATAAGACTTTGTCAGTAACTACCATATCTTTTGATGTTTTAATAGCATAGTGTGTTATATGTACGGCTGAACAGTATAGTCAGTCAGAATTATCAAAAATGTCACTGTTATCTGGAAGAAAACAATCTTTACCTTTGAATAATTAAGATTTTTTCTTTTTAAATGGGGCTCGCTTCAAATACAGAGTATCTCACATAGCTTGAAATAAAAAGATCAAATGCAGAGAAGTAATGCTGAAAGACACTGGAAATTACTTTGTTGTAGAACTCTGAATGTCAGTATTACTCCTCAAAAGAAGGAAAGGTTGGGTTTCTTTGTTTTGTTTTGTTCTATTCTTTTATTATTTAATGTAGGGATAATGAGAAGGTAGTTCAACTCTGAAAAATTTTAAGACTTTTATTCCAGATGAGCTCTTTTCAGTGGTCCTTTACAGACTCAGTTCATCAATGAAGATACTGGCCACTTGAGCTCATTTGTAATCATTGGACACACTGTTAGTATCACGTATCACACACAAATATCCTTTCAAGTACAACACCCAAAACACATTGATCTTCCAACAAAAACAGTAAGATTGCAGCCTCATTTCCTGGAGGAAAAATATCAGAGGTGATAATAAAGGAAGCTTTATGAAACCTGACTAAACCAATCCTAATCTGCATCTGTTTTCTGGTAAAGACTCTTCTTCACAGACTCAGTACAAGCTGTTACTTAGTCATGACTGTGTCTAAAGACACAAACCAGTCCTAAACACTTAAAAGAAAAAATCCATCATGTGAGCAGACACATCTGAAGCCACTGCAGGAAGAGAATTTAGTTCATGCTTTCCTTCCAGGCACCCATTCTAATGCAGCACACAACACCTTCCTTCTCCATTTCAGGTATCCCATGCTGAAATACAGAAAGGATAGCACAGAACAATAAACTATAATCTCTTTAGAAATTTATTTCTAATTGATGTTGTAGTCCTTGCTTTATTCAGCAGCCTATACCTGTGATGGTCAGGTTTACCTGTGAACAGGCACAGTGACAGGCATAATCAAAGTTGGAGATATAAGCATAGTATTAACAGGCTCAGAAAATCAAAAGGAAACAACAGCCCTTATATGCTATTTTACTGAAACTGATTTCTGTGAGTAATGTGTTCACTTCTTCTGCAGCCGTGTACTCATGTGGTTGGAAAAGACATAAAGATAATTGTGCTGGATCTGAGGTAATATGGATGGACAATAGCAATGTTACTACACAAATGGCCAAAACAGAAAAATGGATTCCTGTTTTTCCTACATTTTCAGAAATGACTTTTATATTTATATATTTTAGATTGAATGGTTTGCTATTTATTGCTCTAGCCTGTTTTGGAGTTATTTTGTTGCTCTGTCAAGATGGAGTTCAGTGGCATTACCCCTGAATCTGTAAACAAATCTTACCTATGAAACACAACAATAAAATGAACTTCAAACAACAATAACTGTGTTGAAATAAGTAATGCATCTTTTGTCACTTGTTGGCATCAATTGCTTTCTAAGAATTAGAGAATTTTATTTGTGACTTCCAGCTATGTACATCTCTTCACTGCTTCAGTGAGTTTACACTATATGTAGTAGAGACAAATACATCATTTTGAGTGATTTTTTTTTTCATCCTTTTCCCCATTCCATCCTTGTATATCTCAAGTTTCAACTAAGTTATTAAGCAGAAAATACTTAAGAAAACACAAGTCCTTTACCTGAGAGCTGACCCTCATCACATCTTGGAATAACAAAGATGCATCAGAGTCCCTTGGAGAAATGCATCTTCTCCAGCAACCCTCCAGTAGAAACTTTAATTTGAAATCAAGTTCTTATCCTGAAAGAGATTCCCTGGATTGATGCAGAGTTAAAGATCTAAACAGAGTTAGAAAGAAGAACCATACAAAGTGATTTGCTCTTACAAGAGTTTATTATCTGTTCCAAGAACCTAGATGACCTATACTTTAAATAATAAAGTTAGTACAAAAAAGTTTGGAACGTGTGCTAACAGTCAGAAGCTGGACAACATCTGGAACCCAGGGGTTACAGACATGGTAAATAACAGGTGCTGCTGCAAAGAGCTTACAGTTTGAAAGATAACGAGTAACAGGCAAGTGAGGTAAACTATTGAGTTTAGACAGGAAAATAGATAACAAAAATAAATAGTATGCTTTATCCTGAACTCTAATGAATACAAATTTCAACAAATTCCTTAGGACCAACCTTTTCTAGGTCTGTCTCAGTGAATTCTTTATTCATATATATACTTTTAAGACAGTATTACTGGCTTTAGCTTCTATGCATATACTTCTAGTTGAATATCAGTTTTGATGTATTGAAGATTATAAATGGAATCAGAAAAATCACAGAAAAAGGAAATTTTCTAAATTATTTTATCTACTTTGATTACATTACCCCTCAAAAAAAAAAACCCCACAACAGTTCTGAATAGAAAGTGTATTAAGCCAGCTTAATTACCCTTTAGACCTTGCCAGATATCACAACATAAAAATAATAGGCTGCACTCATCCCGAGGGCTTATGATAGGAAAGTCATGTGTTCAGTCTAATACTAGTGTTTGGATATGCTCCCAAAGGAACAGATTTTGTTTCTTTAAAGAAAACATACAGAATTGTAGTACACATTGTACATCTCTGGGCCACACAGTGTAAAAAATTAGCTTTTCCAGCATGACAGCTGTGAATGAAGAAGTGACATGGCTAGATAATATTTCTGGATAGAGAAGATACAAAGCTGAGTTCTCATGCTCATCCTGATAATGAACAGATTGCTATGCTCCTCTGATACTATGCAGAACGCTGGAAAAATCAAGACCGGTTTTATTTTCAGACTGAAATGTTTACTGCGGCTAAACTTTGACAACATGCGGCCTGATAGCTGAGCATTTTCCAGCATTGCACAAAAGGTACCACTTTTTCTATCAAGCCCAGCATAGTGTAGTAACAGATTCGTGTCACAAGATGGAGCTTCAAACCAGCCGTAATGGTATCGCCACAAACGCACGGTGTTTTGTGGGTTTTTTTAAAAAAGGAGCAGCAATTTCATAGCATATTTAAAACTTATTAAAAAAAAAAATACATAGCATCCAATTAATTAGAGCCATTACGATGGAGGATTTATGAATGAAATTGTAAGAATGTATTTTCCTGAATACATTCACAGTAATACACTAAGGAGACATATAAAAGATAAAGCAATTTAAAAGCACTTGCGGTGAACAATGGATGGTCCAGCTTCATCATATTCCTGTTTGCTGATCCACATCTGCTGGAAAGTAGACAGGGAAGCAAGAATAGAGCCTCCAATCCAGACAGAGTACTTACGTTCAGGAGGAGCAATGATCTGTTTAAGAAATAAAAGCACTAAGTACAACTGTCCACTGTGAAAAAAAATACATTTGTTATACAAAAATATGAAAGCAGTGATATTAGCTATTAACAAAACCACTGTATCTATGTGCTAGTGCCATCCCTGGCATTACAGTTAGCCACTGCTGCAAGCAGTGAAATTAAAAGTTGTTACTTAAGTCTGAGTCTAAATCCTCAGTTTCTCTGCCCAAGTCAGTCTGCCAGTAAGAGTAGTGCATTTGTGTATTCACGGCTGCACATGATAAAAGGGGAGATAATTGCTCTGGAATCATACACCTATAGCCTAGGAGGGCTTGGAAAAACAAGTGACCTATGGAGCACTCTTATTGGTATAGCTGATAAAATGCTTGCAAAGCAAGGACTGGAAGAGTTGAAGCAGCAGAAGGAAGGTTGGCTTGTCAGAGACTCTTCCTTTTCTGAACTTGTAGGCCAAGGACAAACCCAGCATTTTCTCTCTCCCATCTCCATCTGTCCAAATGGGCTGAAGCAGCTCACATGTAGCCCCAGATGAAAATTTATGCTGCTGGGTCCATGCTTCTTTGGCCATGTTGGGGCAGTTTGCAGAATTCACCATGAACAAGGAAATGAGAGGAGAGAAGGCTCTCTTCCTCCAGCAACAAAGTTACCAGGGGGTGATTATTTGCTAGAAGATACAGACATCATTCAAAATATGTACAAAGCATTTTGTAAAGTGTTGCTATGTTTCATGAGATTTTTGAGGACTTTGTACATGCCAACTCAAATAGTCTACAAATAATTTCGCCATACCTTGATCTTCATAGTGCTGGGAGCCAGGGCGGTTATTTCTTTCTGCATCCTGTCTGCAATACCTGGGTACATTGTAGTGCCTCCAGACAGCACGTTGTTGGCATAAAGATCCTTTCTGATGTCTATATCGCACTTCATGATGCTGTTGTAAGTGGTTTCATGAATGCCAGCAGACTCCATGCCTGGGAAAGTCACAGAAGAACACTGAGGAAGCAACTCCATACAGAGACTTAAAATTGTTACCCCAGAACTGACAACATGAACTTCAGTTGTCTCTTTGGAAGATAGCCGTCTTCAGAGCTGTGGAAAACTGGAAAGTCATTCTGCATCTAGCTAAAATATTTGCTTAGGAGTTCGTTAGTGCACAGCCCTCCTCTGGCCCTTACACACACAACTTCCCCTTAAAAAGAAAGCTGGGGGTGTGGAATAGTAAAGTTTCCACTAGGCTGTTGCAGGCAATCTCAAATGTCCCAAGAATTCCTTATATGGTATTGGAATAATTTGTGTTCTTTTCCTTTTATTTATTTTTTTTAAATAGAGCCAGCTCAGAGACAGAACAGTCAAAATATGTCCTAATACTTCTAAGTATGCAACTACATCTATTTCTGAGCTGAAATTTTGCTGATTGGCAGAACCGACACTGGATTTCTGTGTGACCTTGTTGCAAGTCTGCCTTCATGGCTGTTGATTAGCACGCACTGTGTTGGCTTTGCTCTGCAAACGTAATGAGCTATGGCTTCAGGATTTGGAGCAGTCTTTTTGAAAATTAAAAGTAGTGCTTCCCCCTCACACTACCTCCCTCCAAGCGCATTCACACTACAATCCTCATACTACTTAGAAAAGTGGCTTTGCAGCCATACTTCTTGTAGCAGCCAACTGCACAACACGTGAAATGGCATGGACCCACTGCCAGAAGCCAGGAATAAACAGCCAGGGTTTATTTTAGGAAAGCATTTTGCCTTATTGTTTGACATGATGTTCCTCCCACCATATTAAATAGTGCTGTTCTAAAAGATTATTGTATAATGGGTGCCAGGACATACTAGTGTGAATATCTAAGTGAGTTAGCAATGGGATGCAATCAAAAGAAAACAGAAACTTGATATTTATGTGCAGTTTGCCAAGGCAGAACAATCATTCTACCTACCAATGAAAGATGGCTGGAAGAGGGTCTCTGGGCAGCGGAAGCGTTCATTTCCGATAGTGATCACCTGACCATCAGGAAGCTCATAGCTTTTTTCCAGAGAGGAGGAAGAGGCAGCAGTGGCCATCTCATTTTCAAAGTCCAGGGCCACGTAACACAGTTTCTCCTTGATGTCACGGACAATTTCACGCTCCGCTGTCAAGAGGATTCAATCTTTAGAATGGCATTCAGGAAGGACCCAAACATGTTGAGAGGTTGTTCCATTTCATTCTCTAACACCCCCCTTGTGTTTTAGACAAATCCTCAGCTAATCTCACAGGAGACTTTCCTGTTGGATTCCTTCTTGTGTCTAACCAACTGCAGAACCACTGCTAGCCTCTCTAAGGCTGCTAGAAACATTACGCATTAAAGAACTCTCCTCCTCAGTCAGCAGCATGTCCTTACCAGTGGTCACAAAGGAGTAGCCACGCTCCGTCAGGATTTTCATGAGGTAGTCTGTCAGGTCACGGCCAGCCAGGTCCAGACGCATGATGGCGTGCGGCAAGGCGTAGCCTTCATAAATTGGCACGTTGTGGGTGACACCATCCCCAGAGTCAAGCACAATCCCTTTGAGGAGATAACACACAATTTATTCCCAGGTGGACATCGACACACTGAACTATTTCAAATGTCTATGCCATGTTCCCCAGAGGCCTACCTGTGGTACGTCCAGAAGCATAGAGGGACAGAACGGCTTGAATAGCTACATACATGGCAGGCACATTGAACGTCTCAAACATAATCTGAAATGCAATTAAAATAATTGCCTTAACACTAGCGGCTTTAGCTTAGTTGAAGCAATATACTGAAAGAGAGGGAGAAGACAAGATCTTCGTATTTCTTGATGGTTGGTAATAACAAGAAAGGAAAATACAAAATCTAAATCAAAAAATATTTGTCCTCTAAGACATCTCTCTATATCTGGCCTATACCTTTAACATATGAATATAGACATATGCACATATTAAAGATAATTTTGTAATAGGCCTGAACATAAACACAGATTAAGATGACATAAAACTTGGACAGACTGAAGTATTCGCATTCAAAGTTGATACACAGACTTTCTAAAGTAAATGTAATAATATGCAAATATAGCAGGTGGTCACTATGCACTTTCCATCTTCCAGAACTAAGAGAGAAAGACTACTGGGCAGCATGACTAACTGCAATAATGAAGTTCACATTCTGTTGAATTCCAACACAAAGTTGGAATTATTACACAGCTTTAGTGTGAGCTTACCTGGGTCATTTTCTCTCGATTGGCTTTGGGATTCAATGGTGCTTCAGTCAGTAGAGTCGGATGTTCTTCAGGTGCAACACGGAGCTCATTATAGAAAGAATGATGCCAGATCTGAGAACAATGAGAGAAGCCAAAGGAAAGAAACACTATCAGCCAGCATCTCAGAATCACTTCCAGACAGGTATTGTACTCCATCGCTCTGTTTACGGCCCTAGAGATAGGCTAGTAATGTTTCTCATGCAGTTGTTGTTATTGCCTTCATAGATATTACCAAAGTAACTGGAGGAAGAAAATCACTATCCTCAGGTTTTACTGCTAGTAGTATATGACTTCTTTTAAGTACACTGAAGTTAATGAGATTAAATAGGTTATTCTTGCAGTAGAAGAGACAGAGCAGGACAGACTTGGTTCTTGCAATGCTATTTCAATAATGATTGAAAGTTAAACAGTTCCAGAACGGCTCTAGAACATATGCAGACCTATGCAGTAGAGCTCAATAGATAAGGGGTCTCTTGAAAACGGTTCCTTCTTTTGGTTTGTAGAGGCCAGCCCAAGAATTCATAAAAATAAATGAAGGCAAATGGTTTGTGAGGCTGAAAGTCAGCTTGTGTTTGTTGCCTCCCCCTGGCTCATTCCTGTCAGCTATAAAAATCTGAAGCCAAATGGACCACAGTGAGAGTGTTAATGCACTAATAAGAAATAAAACTACAAGAGACTTTCTAAAGACCAAAAAGATTTTTCTAAGCTTATTTTCAAGTTGGTGGTGATTAGAGACTAGTTGATAGGGTAGGCATCTGAAAGGTTTTGCTGTCTTTCCAAGTAAAACGTACAATGCTATGAGAGTCAGTAAGTCCTGTGTGGCTCCATGCAATTGCAGTGTGTTATGATGTCCCAACTGTTCCAAATAGCCCTATTTCCATAGCACAATATTGAATAGAAACACCGTCTTAGAAATTACATCAACCGTATAGACTATGACTGTAAACATGGTTCTGGAAGCCTTTCATCCAAGTAGTGGCTCTGAAATGGATGCATTGCACAGCAATACTACTAATCTTTCAAGCATTAAAAAGTATGTGTATAAACCAAAATTACATATGTGCTTTGCACTTTTGCAGAAACAGACACCTTAAATTCCATTTCTTTACTAGCAAATTGAGGATATTCCTTTCCTTTATTTTTTTCTTTCTTCCCCCTCCTTTGCTATAGTAAAGATGTATAGATCACACTGGAGTAAAATAACTCTCAAAACTATTTTGATGTACTCCAAGTGATACTTCAGCTTTAGATGCAAGTTAATCTTTGTTGTTAACAACCTTCTCATCAAATCACACTTAATAGCATGACACTTTCATCTAAAATTTAGTGGGTATTCTGTAAGTATTTGGTTCAAGTATTTCTGTTTACCAGTGACAACACATCAACTTTTCAAAGCTGAAATACCTTCTCCATGTCATCCCAGTTCGTAATGATGCCATGTTCTATGGGGTATTTCAAGGTCAGGATTCCTCTCTTGCTTTGAGCCTCATCACCTACGTAACTGTCTTTTTGACCCATACCAACCATCACACCCTATAAAATAACACAAATGGAGTTAGTCTCCCAAGGAGTGGCATCACAAAGTAGATAGAACATTAGCTGTGAAATAAATTCAGTTGTCAGTGATACTAGTTACAAAATACTTTACAAATACTAAAGAATGGAGAATTACTCATTGCTTTTTAATTTCCACAATTAAACATTTAGTTCACTTAAAGCTCTGGAGTCCATGTTTCCACTACAGTTTGAGTAAACAGCACAAGAACAATATTAAATTCATCAAGATAAATTGGAAAAATGTGGTTGTTCTAATGTTCGTTATTATTTAGGGATGAACTGTCTGCTAAACTGTAATAAAGTGGAGGAAATGCAGGAAGTGATGTTGTGCCATCTAACGGTCAAAACACGGGAATACACACTTCACATTTCTCAAAGCTTAAATTTCAACATTTTTTAGCCTTCTTTTTGAACACTATAAGATTGCCATTACAGACAGACATTGTAAAACTACTGGTATAGGCTTCTTTTTAGGTATTTTAATGGATCCTGAAGAAACTGTCCATGGACCAGAAGCTGGAAACTACTCTGGATATACAGTAATCTTTATGTTAAAGTTAGAAACACTGGAAAAAAATAATATATAGTAGGATGTTTTGAGTGCATAGTACTCTCCTCAGAAATTAGTCATTACATAGTCCAAACCTTGGCATCTCTAACAGCCTTGTCTTAGAACTAAGAAAGCTGGATTTGCAACTTATGATGGGATGATCCTTCCTTCAGGGCACGAAAGTGCTGCATCTTACAACCAGTTTACCTCTTCCCATTTCACCAGGTTCTTAGATGGCATAGAACCAATTAGGTGGATCTACTAATTAGGGGGATTAGTCTGTCATGGCTTAGACAAGCTGCTCTAGTTCATGTCAATGATAATCTGGCTCAGAAACTCTATTTTTAACAGCACAGATAATACATGTATTTTGCAAACCATTAAAATTGACTGGAATGCATCATATACTCAAATGAAAATCTTGAGTCTAAAGAAATTCAGCCCTTGACAGGTGCTCATTTGTGATACAGTTAAATGAATAAAGTCAGGAAGGTTACTAGGAAGCTGACTGAAAACTTCTTCCTCCTTTAGTTTTCCACACATCACCTGTCACCATCTTTTAGGGCAGTCAAAATTTCCAGATACTTCTGTGTTGGGCTTTTGTGTTTGTTTTTTTTTTTTTTTTTAAACTAGCTTTGCTCACCAAGTTCTCTGGGTAATTCAAAATTAGTGGACAGGGAGAAGAGGGCATATAAGGGAGTGAAAAATTTTAGAAGGACTGCTCTCACAAGACAAGAGACCTGCTCTCACTCAGGTAAGTGCACTGCTGGACCCATTTTGCCTGGAAATGCTGTGTTACACAGATCACCCAGGGCTGGGCACGAACACAAGAAAAGGCGGCTCTGGGATGGAGGGCTTGGGACAGGGCAGCAAAGCCTACAAACCCGGTATGGAATAACCAAAGCAGTTCATCACCTGGTGCCTGGGACGACCCACAATGGAAGGGAAAACTGCTCTTGGAGCATCGTCCCCAGCAAATCCGGCTTTACAGAGCCCTGACCCATTGTCACAAACAAGGGCAGTGCTGTCCTCTTCTTCACACATCTTCTACGTTTATGTCCTCAGGCCTTCCAGACAGAAAACGGCCCTATGGAAACAGCAGGAAAGAATTTTTAAAAAATCAAAAACAACAACAAAAAAGCCATACTCAGGTAGCAGACCCACCCTTGAAGACAGAGGTGGCTGTATGAAAGCAACCAGCACCAGCAAAGAGAGGTATGGCACCAGTTTGGCAATCACAAAGCCTGCAGGGCCATACAAGGGAACGGGCTTCCTTCTGAAAGTGCAAGAGGCTCCAGCCATGTCTGCCAGAGCGCTGTATGCTCTAGAGATTATCCAGGGGATTCCAGAGGAGACTTCTAGTCCTGCAGCATGGGCAGACAGTTCAGGCAGTAGCAAATGTTTATCTAAATTTGGTCACAGAAATCCACGCCTGGAGGTGGGTGCGAGATAAAAGAGAACGTTGGACTGACAGCTGCAAAAACAAAGACCCCTTTGCATTGGCTTCAGCACAACTCCCCCCCTTTTCTATCACCCTGACAAAATCCTGACACATGTGGAAAGCTGTCAAAGGTGAGAGCACTTCAGTGTTCCCCATCCAGTCTTGGGTTACCCAAAGACTAACCACTTTAAATGCTAGGCACAGCATTTAAACACCAGTGGTGTTTTCCTGATGCAGATATTAACCCACTGAGTCTAGGTGACCAACTAAGTTTACATTTAATCTTTCACATTTAATCTTTTAAAAGAGAAGAAATGTTCCCAATTAAAATGTCCAGCCCTCCCCTAGTCACTCAGACAAAATAACCTGCCTTTAAAATGAAGTCAGGGACAGTATGTGTTTTAAAAATAGGCCATAGCGTATGGTCTATCATCATTTCAAAGGGACTAATAAACTGCATTTGTAGAGTGGCAGAGTAATTTACGTTGGCTCCTTGTCTCAGTAAAAAGAAACTGTTTTTCTCCTCTGGCAACAGGAAGATAATATGGGTAATAAAAATGCTTTGAAGGCTTTGTATTAAAGTCAATTACAGAAACAAGCACTGAATATGAGGACTCAAGAACTGTTTGCTCGCAATTTACAGTGTGCTAGGGAAACACTTGGCTAGCTCTGAGCCTGGGCTTCCATGCAGAGTTCAATGAATTGCAGCGTGTTAACAACTAAAGGAGACAGCTGTCGTCCACAGACCAGCTGGCTCCGCACACAGTCTGCAAAACCTTCTGCCACAGGAATACTGGAAGTGGAGGATGAAGCAGAAAGGGAGTCAGCGAGAGCCATGGCCAATGATCCAAGGAGCCCACAATCCGTTCAACCTCTACGTCGGGTGGAGCAAGCATGGATGGTCCTCTCGAATCCTTCATTTGAGATCCTCTGTGTCTCCCCAGCCAGGAGACACAGCTGCAGCCCTGCTCCTGCAGGCTGCTTGGGCATAGCTCCCAGGAAAAGACAAGGATAGGGAAATCCTAACTTGATGTACTCCTAATATTTTATCACTATCGTTGCAAAAGAAAAGCAGCTTGCAATTTTTGTATTTATTGAACTCCTGGGAAAACAGGCTCTTTATATTCAGATATTTACTAAATGGAGTATAATTGTTTTCTAACATGAATGAACAGACCAGTTTGGACAAACCATTTCCTAATTAGGAAATAGGCTTTTCAAAAGTCTGTTTTCGGAACAGAGTTTGAGGTCAGGGGGTTTGCTCAAACCCATGCAGCTATCGTGATGCCAAAAATCACTTGGGGGAGGGGAAAGAAGGGGGCAGGAAAGGCTGCATTTCTGAGCTTAGTGGACTCTAAATGAAAACCATATTTAGTAATGAAGCACAAAAATTTCAAAAATCAAAGCTGATAGATTTCAGACAGGGTGCTCTGCTGCCAGCCAGTGAGTTACAGCTCAGTGCTGCCATGGCATGCAGTAGTAACATCTTACAGCAGCAAATGTCACTCAGCACTGCGGGAGAAAGAAAATTTTTCTCCCAAGTAAGTAGTACAGGATTTAGCCTCTTTTTTCTACTTGCTTTATATCGAAAGATAACTAATCACCTCACCAATCTCCACAACAAGCTACTAAGAGAACTCCAGCCCTTCAAGAAACACTGTGTGTACCCTGTTCCTTAATGAAATGTTTGGCATTTTACAGAACAGTGGTTTCATATACAGAGAGACAGGACAAATACACAGGCAGCCTCATTGTATCCTATTAGACACTGCTATTTTACATACTTCCAGCTCTTTTTACTGTCACGCTCCTCCAAACAATCACATTCAATCACATTACCTTACACTGAGTTAACAGCACTGAAGCAAACCTGCCAAGAAACTTTACTACACAGTGGACAAATTCACCTCTTCAGGAACTCTGTTCTGTACAGAATTAACACTGCAGGATCACACAGGTTCATTTAAACATTAATATAAGTATAATTCCAAGCATGTCATTACACAGACTGTGTCTTTATGCTATTGCTGGAGTACTGGTGGAATTGGCAAAAAAGTCAGGTAAAACTTTTAGTTCTCTTTCAGAAGTGCTATAAAATAAGGACAACTCAGTATAAAGATTACAAGCATTTTATCAATTCAGTTTTAACAAGTAAGTTTGCTTAAGCAAACCACAGCACAGCACTACATCCTCCTGAATAGCCTCCAATTGACATTATTTAATTGAAGTCCTTCAGCAATCTGTAAATCATGCTGTTGGTTCAGTGTCACTTACCCTGACAGTGCCTGGCTGGGGATAGCTGCTCTGGGATGGTGCACTCCGTATCTGAAAGCTCTGAGGTTATATAGCCCCTTCAGCTCTTCTCCTCCCACTAGCCTCCCAAACAAGGAGCAGAAACAGACAGAGACAGAGCTGAAGTCTCTAACAAAACCATATAGGGACCTTATTACAAAAACCTCTAATCTGGGTGGCCACAGGCCCTGGGTCTCTTCCACTGCATTCCACTGTAGAGCTCATGAAACAGGAGGAGACTTTCAGCTGTGTAAGATAAACACTTCAAAACTTCAGGAGAGTTGCTAAAATACAGAGAGATGGAGTGTGCCTGCAATAGACACTATCTGGCAGAAGGAGCACATGTTCAAACAAGAGAGGTCCAGGCCTCCATAGTAACACCCAAGAGGCAGAGAGATAAATTGGAAGAGCAGTCTTTTTTAACAGGGAAGGTGTATTTAAAGAAACACTTAGCTTTCATTAAAGATTTTAATAAAAACAATGAAAACATTCCTGGCAAGATAAACAGTCACTGAATTTGGCTACAAAGTCTCTTTAAAAGCTCAGTGTTTTGCTTGAATGCTAAATATTGCCCATAGGCTTAAGGGCAGTGAAAAAAGTACTTGCTGTTGTATAGGGTTCACAGTGAAGTCTCTGAAGGTTGTGAACATGTTCTGTTATAAGATTGTTTGCTCTCCTCTGGATGGTGACGGGTTAGAATCCTTTCTGTTTCTCTGTCAGCTTATTTTCAAAACCCTAAGACCTGCAGGCCAGCTTTGCCCTAGTGCTGCTCCACTGATGGCCACAAGTCTGGACCGTGGTAAACTCATCTCAAATTGTTTGTAATAAAGTTGTTAAATTTTATAACCCCCATCTAGCTTTCCCATTGAATGTATTTTTAGCAAATAAAGCAAGGGATCTCACTGTACAAGTTATTTGCAGCACAGGACTGGATTTTTACAGCTGTAGCCAGCTGTTCTCTGAACAGGCTGATTCTAGCGAAGCAGCCTTTTCATAGTCAACAATATTTTGTCATGAAGTTTGTACTAAAGACCAGAAATCAGCATCTCTAAACTCCAGTACTAAACCATTACAAATTCAAAACTGCTCTATGCACACAAGCCAAGAAAGATGTGGGAATCCAAGTGAGATCCTTGCTTTGTAAGTCTTGTTAGAATGGGGAGGGGCATCATGTGTTTGCTTACAGAGTGTTTGCTGCCTAATTGAGTAGTCTTAATGCAAGAAAATCTCCCATACAACTGCAGTGGGAGTTTTTCTGATGTAGAGATTTAAGGATTAGGCCATTAGTAGAGACAGCAGATAAGCACAATTATGGATTGAAGACCAAAAGGAATTTAACTCTTAAGGAAAGGAACTTTTAAGGAATGTAGCTGCCTTTGAGAGTCAGAAACAGAAGCTAACAAGTGTTGGAACACGAGCCATGCAAAAGCTATTATTTCACTTCCAGCACTGTGGCAAAATATACGGGATTTTTTTTTTTTTTTTTTTGAAAAAACACCAAGGTAAGCAACCTACAACAGAGGATATAAACAGATCCTTTTTTGCATATCTCCAGCTGACATTCAGAGGACAGCCAAAATCAAATTCATTCTTTTCAAACAACACTCAAAAACACAGCTGAGAAAAATTACATACCTCACATAGAACGTATGGTATTAGATCAGGGAACTCAGGTCAAGCGGAAGGAGAATTTCACACAGCAGAACCCTTCACTGCAATATCATGTCTGATTTTGGTACAAACATCGATTATCTCCTAGATTGGAGGAAACATAATCCAAGGTTTTTAGAAGAATCATCTGCTATTACTCCTTGGAAATACCAAGACTGGGTCAATGATCCAAAAGAAACCAAACTCTTCACCTTAATGAGAAGAGGCTCACACTGCCAAAAAAGCTTGCTGGTGATGATGGATTCATTGGTGATTCCCAAAGATGTGGGAATCCCAGCTTCCAGAGTGCTCATGAAAAAAGATACATCTGACACAGAGTCTCATTCAGAGCAGGCAGTTGTTGATATGGCCATAAAGGGGAAACACCAGTTGTTTGGAGGAACCTACCATACGAAGGACACTTGTTGGAGACAAGGCTCTGAAGATTAGTAGGAAGAAGTAAGCGCAGAGGCTCACTGAGCAGTAGTGATGGATACATAGGGACAGCACAGAAAAACATAGAGACGCTGCACAACCATGCCTCCAGCACACAGCACTCAGCTCGTCTTGGGGGCATGACGTTATGGAAGGGCCCAGGGCAGGAAGGAAGGAAGGCAGGCAAACAGGTGAACTATGCAAGGAAGTTAGGTCAGTCACGCTCAAGGGACATCATAGAATATAAGTATTTCTTTTCCTTTTGATGATTCTATATTCGAGTTATGATCACATAGATATTAACACATGGGGAAAAAATGACATTAGTAGTTTACACCTTTCCTTCTCAGCAACATAGGTCGCTGTCAGAGATGTAGGGGGAAGGGGAGAATGCACTTGGCACGATACAGGAATAAGAAATCAAAAAGAACAAGTCTTCTGAGAATCAACACAGACATGTACCAGCTTGGCCTAAATATATATATATATATTTTGCAAGAAAAAGGACACAATACCATTCCTGAATGTAGTTTAGCTTCCCCTCTGGAGGCCACTCCCATCATCACTTTTTGCTGCCTGTCTTTCAGTATTTATTCTGCTCAGTTGTACAGAAACTACCACAGCACAGTTTGCCCAGTGTGTCTACACCCTGAGGTTCTAGTTCTTTCATTGTATCCATAGCCAAAACCCATGGGTTTTATTTGGCTTCCTCTGAGAAATTATCTTTGTCCATGCTAAACCCTTTCACAGTCTCCATCATAGTCGCACATCCAGAGAAACAAAAATAAGTAGAAAAAGTAATTTGGCCTCTTTCTGTCATACCCTTTTCCCTGCTCTCTTTATAGTGATACTAGTAAAGCTCCTATGCACATTGGAAACTTCCCTATTGACATCAAGCATCTTTCAAGACATCAGCGGAAACTCTTAGCTATGTGTTCCTTAAAATCAAGTTCTTTGGTTTTCCGTAACTTGTGCAGATTGTTGCATGGACAGAAAACGTGCTTGGGACTCCACAGCAGCAGGAGCTGTATAGTCACCACACCTAGGAAATGAGCTTCAGCTGGCCTGAAGAATGCTGTTTCAGAGGCCATGCAACATTTCGCAGATGCCATACTTTTTTGGTAAAGAAGGGCAGAAGCTGCAGTCCTATTCCAACTGCTATAGAAAACTGGGAATAAAGTAACCTCTTTACTCATAACATTACAAGCCATTACTTTATAAGGGAAAACAACTTCTCAGACATGCGTGGAGACCTTCCTGCCTACATTCAATTGGCTGTTTAGGAAAGAAGCTCTGCTAAATATGTCTCTGGCTCCTTTTTATTTGGGGATTCCTTTCATCTTCATAGCATTAGCAGAATCTCTAAATGTTTTTGTTTGTCTGGCTTCAGGCCCTCTCCTCTATCTCATTGATAGGCTTTACACTTCCCCACCCCCACTTTTGAGAAAGACAGGAATAAATAAGCCTTAGGGGGCAGAAAGTCCCTCTAACAACCTGATTCATTGCAGCTGTCATGCAGTATGCATCTGTAAAGTGTCAGATCAACCATAAGCTGTCAGACCCATAGACTAGCTTTCTCTCTGATTACCAGGCTCTTGCACTGGTATCTCCCTAACAACTAAGACAAAATTACTCTAATCATTCTCCAATATGGCAGTTTTCAACCTACAAAGTTGGAAAATAGTTTTGCCAGTGCTATTCACGAGCTACAGGATACAGTGTTTGTCTTCTGAGCCTCTTGAGTGAAGTGATGAAGTATGCTAGTCCACAACCTTCCTTTGTCCTTGTGACAAGATATTTTTCCTCCATGGTAATGTTAGGTAAAGATATTCCTCATTCAAAATCAAAGGAAAATATTCAAAGTAAAAATGAGCTAATAGCTCCCTCCCCGTCCTTCTTAGATAAATAAATAGGACATGAGAATGAGCCCTGCTGGGTCAGGCTGATACTCATCTAGCTCAGTATCCTGTCTCTGAGATTTCCTGATAGCAGATGCTTAGGAAAGAAATGGGACGCCTATAGTCATTATTTTCTTCCTATATCCTTTTTGCTTCCTTACATGCAGCATAAGGATTTCTTGAGACAGGAGTTGGTACTTATATCTTGATATGTAATAGAAGTGGACAGATTTTTCCTACATAAATTTGCCTAATTTAAACACACAGTTTGGAGATAGATTACCCTCCATGATTTCTTTATGAAAGTAAGCTCTACATTTATCTGCAAGGCAGCACCCATAGCTCACACTCCAGCTAGTGTAGACTTACCTAATGTTAGAAAGAAAACATCAAATATATCAGAAGCGCAGTCAAAGGAGCACTGTCTTTATAACAAGAGATGCAAATTCACCAGCGCTCCTGGATGAGTCTTCAGGCCACTGGCCAAGGCTGAGCTCTTCCCCACTGTGTGTAAACTCTTAGCAGCACCTCAGTAGCTTGTTGACAGTTCATGCAGACATATCTGTCCTAAATGACACATCTCCTATTGAGATGCGATTCCCCTAGATGATTATCAGAACATATCTAGTAACATGCTATACAAATTCGTCAAAATGTAAATGAAATCTTCTCACCATACCACTGTGAAAAATAAGACCTGTGCTCCTAAGGAAGCCAGACCTACACAGTGTGTGCGTGGGGCAGGCAGAGCACAGAGGTCTTTCCTCCACAATAACTTCTGAGCTCCCCAACAAACGTATTCCCAGACTGACAGCAACAAGGACACCAAGTTCCCACCACATTTTAGGAAGTGGTTTCCCTGTTCTTATCCCACCAAAAGAAAGGCTTCAGGATGAGCTTGCACATTATGAGAAATCAGATCTAATACCCACCAGAGAAATGTGCTGGAAGCAGGTTTTATAAGGCTATTACAGATAAAGACTGTGGACTCGTTGCATGCCTAGTTATATCACACAGCTCAAGGGCCTTTATCAGCCAATT